AGTGCAGGATCTGGGTTGTGTAGCTTGAGTTATAGGGCTGCAGTGCATGTCATGGTTCTTCTCTGCTGCAGCTCTGGTGTTGCTGGGCTAGTGTCTGGAGGTCAAATAGCAGTTCACTGATCTGGAGTTGCTGTCAATGGTTCAAACTACGGCTGTAAACTGCAGATTTGTGATGTTAACTGCAAATTAAAATCCAAACTCCTGCTGTATGTCTTTTGGTGGTTGCTGCTAAGTAGCATATTTGGTCTGTTGTTTCACCTCTATGTGCTTGTTTTGGTTGTGTGGTTGGTGGTATCTTCTTCGTGGTCTGAAGTTGGGCATGGTTTTTGTGGCTGCATTGTGCTCTTGGTCTGAAGCTTGGCTGTATGGTCTGAAGTTTGTTCATGCTGCTTTGGAGTTTCATGTGGTTGCCCTGTTATGCGTTTTTGTGAAGATGGGCTTGGAGTTACATTCTTATTGTTTTCCTTCTGGTTTTGTTTCTCTTCGTTGGTCTCTCACCAACTAGGAGGTTGGAGCTTTTTTAGCTCCAAGCTCCTCTTTATTGATGTATCATTCACACCTTGTATGTGCTTTTTCATCAATAAAGTTTTTTTTTTTTTTTTTTTTGCCGATCAGGAAAAAAAATGAATATCAATACTTTGTTTTTTAATGGTCTGTTGTATGATTTTTTTTTGTGTAATTTTTCTCCATTTGGGCATTGTTTTCAACTCCTCTTCAAAGTTTCCCACATGGTTGGATAATACTTCTTCACATATCTTCCGTTTATATATCTCCTATGTGGTTGCCTTTCCAAGGATTCGTTTATGTAAATGATGCCATACTTCTTCACACTAGTATATTTGTCATGTACAGATGTTTAGTAGTTTTTATTTAGTATCAAAGTCTGCATGTTTAGTGTGTAAAGCCAGTCAGCCAAATATTGCTGAAAATATATCATCTACAATACACAACTGACGTAAAACACTTACTTACCGATTGATATACTGGAAACAACCAGGCCGTATGCAACATGACATTGTTTACAGTTTAAAATTTGTGGCACATTTGCAGTTTAAAATTTGTATTTCTTTGCGCCTGCTCACACGTGGATCAACCACAACATGACATGTGCGAAAGTCAACGTCAGAGTCCCTCAGTTACACATATGAAAGGGGTTTAGTTTAACTGCACGTGAGGGCCCACATGGTGCAGCAGTTACGAGGATATTGCATGGACTAACTGGGTGGATTGCAGAAATGGTCATTGGCAGAATACAGAGCTTGACCTGAAGATGTGAAGTCCACAATGTGCAGGGACAGTTGGAAACATAATAGTAAGGTGGTTCGACAGGAGAATTACAGCAGTTTGTTTACCACATGAATTCCTGTGGACAGGTGGATCCTTGTTGGTGCATTATAGTCACTGCTATTTGTTTGTTCTGTGGGAATTTTTTTTCTTTGTTTTGGACAAAATTATGGCATTCAAAAAAAGCAAACAAACATAATTTATGTTGTAAAAGCGAACAAACATTACTACTTTCAACTTGCATTGTTTGTTGGACAAATATCACATTGCATTGGACAAACATTACTATATTCATTTGGACAAATATCACATTGCATTGTTTGTTCTGTACCCATAACATTGGAATTATGTGTATCACATTACGTACAGGCCACGATAAAAGCAAACAAACATTACTACTTTCTGTCGTTTGTTCCAGCCCCAAACATTGGAATTATGTGTACAATCAACACGCGTGGGAAATTAGTATTATCACAGTTGCGACCTAAAAAGTTATCATGACAAGCTGATGCAGTAATCCAGTTGTGGTTGGGCATCGAAATTACTCTCGTACTGGCAGGCCATGATAAAATCGCTGCCGTATTTGTTGTAATTGCAATCAATCACATGCACGAAGGATACTCGCCAATCTTTGAATTATTCACATCCATAATGAAGTCAAGCACCAACTTTCGACACACAGAAGGATGAAACTATGTAGAGATAGTGAATAACACAAATCAGGTACAGTTACAGCAGTAGGAAATAAACGGATTTATTTCGCAATTGGAAATGAAACGGTAGAATGTACCTTGTGTGGACCGCTGGGTATATCAGGTCGCTACATGTACTTGATCACAAACATCCCACAGTCAAAAGTGCTACAAATGAAATGTAACATTCAGTTTCTCGTAAATATAAGCAGGTTCGTTAAATGAGTCATTTAGGAGTCAAGTTAATGTGACACAGGGTTTGTGGATTACTCGTCCAGCTGTTGTAATGGCTTTTTTTCTAACATGTGGACGTCAAAGGTACGCACGTCTATAGCATATTCATTTCCAAATTGTAGTTGCAGTAAGGCATGCATTGTTTGAACCTGTTACAGAATGAGACGGTTAGTTTATGTGAAGGATGTGACAATATGGAAGTAGATTTGTGAAATTCAGCACGACATACCAACATTTTTGCCACGTTCAGCTTATTGGTGTCCAGTGTGGCGGATGCCAATGAGTCAAATAGGTACGCCACACGGTCTACCATATCTATTTTTAGGTACAACCAATGTACTCCTCTATAATTGAAAGGCATGTAAATCTACACATAAACACAAGTGAAGACATTGTTTAGAGGGCATGCGAACATGTTCAAATTTTCATATTTACATTGACATTCATGTAAATGAGATCGACATTCATATTACCAACGTTCATATTAAATCTACTCGCTTCAATGGGATGGACATTCATATTACCTTCTAACATGCATCAAGCACCCTAGTATATCTGTCATGTCCAAAATATGATTTGACGATATTTTCATGGTTTAGAGGTTGAGTTTTTTGATTTAGTATCAAAGTCTGCATGTTTGGTGTATAAAGTTCAGTCGGCCAAAGTTTTCTGAAAATATGTCTTCTACAATACACAACTGTAGACACCCCATTTTTGACCGACCTTAAGACTCAGACGTTATCGATTGAGCACTCGGTGATAGTGCATGTTGTGCTCGTTTCGAGCTTCGGAGTTTTGGCTGAGAGCCTTGCCTCCGGGTCTCTGAACTCTTTGTGCTTCGGCTCGGTTTGTGGACCAAAGACTTGTTTCCCTTCCCGAAGGGAGGGAGAGGTCTTGTAGACCATCTCTCTGTGGTCGTAGACTACTTTTCGTATTAGTAGATGCCACCACAACCACCTGTGGCACAGATCTTGATGTAGGTTTGTTGGAGTCCATAAGCATAAAAAGCTGAGAGGCTACACGAATATCTTGCTCTTTTCTGCATTTCAAGAACAAGTGACATATGTAAGTAAGCAACTACACATAAATGATGCCATATTTCCAAATCGCTGGTTCATTGTTAAATAACAATGGTTAGTTTTGCATTAACACTTCTATTGTCTTTTTCCCCCCTCAGTAATTTCACCAAAAAAATTAAGACAACAAAGAAACATTGTCTATTTTATTAAGAGAAAACATTTTGGTATCAAACAAACAGAAGGCATCATAACAGTACATATGCACCCACATGCACATAGACACAGAAAATAAAATGCAGAGATGTGCTCTATAGCATGTAATGAGCATAACAACTTCAACTATTAGCAAAAAAGAAAATAATTTTTTTTTCTAACCACTTATTTTTTCTTACATCAGCACCATCAAATATGAAAGACCAAATAACAATCACAAAAGTAAATTACTGAATTTTCTTGGGAAACAAACCAACCGTAATGGTTCATAACATTAGTAATATACATCACAATATGCCACAATTTTTCTTATCAAAATGGTTCATAACATTTTTCACCACAAGTGATAGCCGTTAGAATCATATACTGGACAACTAGCTTAAGAGTTTCCGTAAATTTACACTAACCGGTCCACGGGCCGGACATCCTCCTGATCGACTGGTAATTTGACAAAAAAGAATTTTTTTTAGTAGAACGCTCGATATCAAATGAATTTTTTACTCAAATTTGATGAAAACAAAAAAGAATAAATGTTACAGATGCTCTTAACACACAAAATTGAGTTTTACTTTTATTATTTTTTTATTAATTAACCCACAATTTTAACTACTCCATTAAAAATGCTCTACATGATAATTTTTTGGACACCCACCACTACATCCACAACTATTTCTTCCTAAAGATACATGGAATAAAAAAACTCACATTATTTAGATTCATAAATTCACCACACAATTCACCCATTTCAAAAGTCACAAGAAATGAGTTAATTTCAAAATAGTGGAAATACTAGAGAAAATTCAAAATAGTGAATTTCTAAAGCATCATTAAGAAAAAAAAATACAAATTTGAGTTAATATCAAATTTAAAATACTAGAGAAAATAGTGAAAAAATGAACAACTAAAACGATGAAAAATGACATAATCTTGCAATGCATATTATTAGAGTGTGGAACCCATATTTTTATATGGTTGTGTCCATATACTTACTGAAAAATCTAAATTTATAAGCCTAAATGATGAGTTTTTAGCTGTGAGTTTTTCTTGTTTGGCATCAGATTGAACAAAGCAAATCTGCAATTTTAATCTTGATAACTCTTTAGATATATGCAAAAGACCCAAAGCATAGGAAAGATTTGACATAGCTTTTGTTATATAATTTGAACATTCCTTGGAAAGTAGTAGTTAACAGATATTAACACAAAAAGCATTGTCTTGGCTTTTGTTGTATAGTAGTTTGAACATTCCTTGGAAGATTCTTTTACAAGTTCGAATGTTTGGAAAACAATTTCATTGATTTGGGAACTACTTTGATCTGAATCATCAAATTAATTGAACACACAAGTTGGAATGTTTGGAAAACACAACTTTGTTGATTTTCCAAACTATGAATCATCATACTAATTCAATCTTGAACTACAAATTCAACATTCAAATGGCCAAAAAAAAAGTAAAAATCAACGATGTTAACATGCCCGGGGGGTCAGTAGTAGTTAACAGATGTTAACATGAAAAGACTTAGTTTTGGAACACATTGACAGAAGTAGAGCCTCCTTCATCAATATTCAAGCTTGCTTTTACTGTTGTGGGTTGTTGTTGTTTTCCTCCTCCATTGCTGGAGATTTGTTATACTCTTCCAATTCCATCTTGGCTCCTTGGCTCCTGCAGCTTTTTCATTCCAGGTTTGCTTATCTTCTTCACTCAATTCCTACAAGTACAAAACCAAAATTTTCAGTACTTCTTTTTACATTTTCAAAAAAAGAATTACCCAAACAGACAGTTAAATTTCACACCTTCCATTTCACTGAGATGAGGGCATTAAGGGTAGAGTCATTAATTCCCAGCCTCTCTTCCAACAAGTTCTTCCTTGCCTCTTTGTTATATTATCAACAAAAATAACATAGTATAAGAAAATATAAAGCAAATTTCATTACATTTTTTTGTACTGTTAATGTCTGCTAATTCTTTGATTCACCTCTATATGGCTAATTCGTGACTATTAGCAATTCCAGCCAACACATCCTATAATTCCAAATGAGAAAATAAGGGACAACAACAACCATTATACAATGACAGAATCTACGGAACCTATGTTCGGACACAAAAGTCAAATCGGAAACGACCGGGGTCGCTATAATTCCAGCATCATTGTGAATAAAAATAAAATGACCAAAATTTTAGGTATTTACTTTTAATCTTGTTAGGTGTATATATAGGTGCTTATAACATATTTTAAAATGACTGACCTGAATAGAAGGAATGAGGATGCGGGCTTCTTCGGTTTGTTGGGATCAACAATCTTCTTCTTCTTCTGGCGATTCTCTTTCGTTTTTTGTAACAAGAGCATACATAATTTAGTGGTCACAAAAGCCAAGCTTCACAAGAAGGTATCGACAATTCATTGTTATAAGGCCAAACCTTGGTTATGTTATTGGTTTTCTCTTTCTTCTTGAGCAATTCCAAGGCTTCTTACATGTGAATTTTCATCATCTCATCCTCTTCCTTTTTGGGATTGGCAGACTCTTCCTCCTTCCTCTGCTTGTAAGCCTCCATTTCTTCCAAATACTTTTCCATGTTTTGCTTTGCAATCTGCAAGTTCCCAAAATATGAAATTGTTGTTGCAGACACACAGACACAGACACACAGACACAGACACACACACACAGACACACAGAAAGACAGAGTTAATTGAACCTTTTCATAAGGCTTCTTCTGTTTCTCTGTCATGTTATTCTATTCTTCAATTACATCCCAGCCACTCTTGCTCTTTGCAAGCAGAGCTGCTCTTCTCTTATTTCTGAACATAAAAAATGCTGAAATTGGTTGCTTCGGTTTCAACGGGTCCTTTTCTTTCCTGTAGAAATTCAATGAGACAAAGATTAGAGAGAGAGAGAGAGAGAGAGAATAACAAGAAGAAGAAGAAGGGGGAGAGAGAAATTACTGAATTTACTTATTCAATTGAAGAAACTGCTCTTCCTCCAACAGCTTCATGGCTTCAGTTGTGAACGCCAAAGACGCAGACATTGGTTGATGAGGACTCAAACTGTGAAGATCAAAATGATGAAGATCAAAAATCTTAACTCCACTTTTTTCCTTCTGATCTTCCTTTTTGCTGTTAGTGCAGAGGAGGCGGCAGAGGATGCCGGAGTACCAAATGGCGACAAAAACCTTATTCTGTGACTCGGTCATTTTGAGACAGAGAGAGAGAGAGACTGAGAGAAATATAGAGAAAATTACTGAATTTACTTATTCAATTGAAGAAACTGCTCTTCCTCCAACAGCTTCATGGCTTCAGTTGTGAACGCCAAAGACGCAGACATTGGTTGATGAGGACTCAAACTGTGAAGATCAAAATGATGAAGATCAAAAATCTTAACTCCACTTTTTCCTTTTGATCTTCCTTTTTGCTGTCGGTGCAGAGGAGGCGGCGGAGGATGCCGGAGTACCAAATGGCGACAAAAACCTTATTCTGTGACTTGGTCATTTTTAGACAGAGAGAGAGAGAGACTGTGTGAATGGCTGCAAAAACTGACATGAGAGAGAGAGAGAGAGAGAGAGAGAGAGAGAGAGAGACAAAGAGAGAGAGATAGAAAGACTGTGTGAATGGCTGCAAAAATTGTTGTGAGAGAAAGAGAGAGAGAGACTGTGTGGAATGGCTAAACTGAAAGTGATTAATATATATGGATAGACAGAGGGGACATGGGATCCCTGAAGGCAAGGGAGATTTTTTTTTCAGACAGTGATGGCTGAGTGAGAGAGACACATTTGAACATGAATATACTCTCTCCCTCTCTCTCATCAGTAGTATATAGTATGTTTCTTACATTCCTTATTTTCTTCGAACACGCTTTCCCTCTCTTCTCTGGAAGTTTCATTCCTTCATTCCTTCCTAATTTCCAAAAGGCAATATATCCTAATATGCTTATTTCCATAATTTCCATAATTTGAATTATTTATAATATGAATAATATTTGAATAGTTTGAATAATTTGAATTATTTACAATATGAATAATTTGAATAATTTCCATAATTTGAATAATTATCCTAATAATTTGAATAATTTTCATAATTTGAATTATTTACAATATGAAGGGAGGAGTGATTCGCAGAGTCTATCCTAATTTCCATAATTTGAATAATTTGAATTACTTACAATATAAATAATTTGAATAATATTTGAATAATTTCCATAATTTGAATAATTATTTGAATAATTTTCATAATTTGAATTATTTACTGTAACGCCCTCAAAATTTACCAATTATATATCATTGACATGCGTTATTTAAAGAAGACAATATATTAATCCATTCATCAGAGTATTACTAAATAAAGCATTACATGTAACATCGAATAAAATGCCCTACAGGCTTACATCTTTCCAAGCCAACACTTGGATACAAAAATATGAGTTATTTGAATAATTTTCATAATTTGAATTATTTACAATATCGAGGGAGGAGTGATTTGCAGAGTCTATCCTAATTTTCATAATTTGAATGGTTCTTATTTTAAGAGTTATTAGGTAAAATATTTATTATTTTAATTTTTTATCATTTGGTCGCCAAAAATTTATTTTTTAGTCGCTATATAGTTAGTTTTGACTACTAAAATTATTTAATCACTGAATGAAAAATAAAAAATTACTTTTTATCTTTGATAACCAAAAGTTTGGTCGTCAAAAATTTATTTTCAGCGATTAAAAAATATTTTAGTCACTATGTAGTTAGTTTCGACTACTAAAATAATTTAGTCACAGAATAAAAAATAAAAATTTACTTTTTATCTTTGGCAACCAAAAGTTTGATAAACAAAAATTTATTTTCAACGACTGAAAAAAATTTTAGTTGCCAAAAAACTAAAATTTTTAGAGGGAGACATTTCAAATTTTGGAGGGATTTATAAAACTAATTGGCGACCAAAATGTTTATTCGCGAATTGTGTAAAATGACCAATAATCATATATATATATATATATATATTGTTTCCAAACCAAACTCTAAACAAACCAGTGCTTCTCTCTCTCTCTTTAGCATCTCTCTCCCTCTCCCTCTCCCTCTTCTTATTTTCTACTCCTCTCCTCTCCCTCTCTATCACTAGGGATGGCAATTGGGATTAATGGGATGGATATTAATTCCCCATTCCCATTCCCCTATAATAATTTTTCCTTATTCTCCATTCCCCATGAGGACTAACCTCTCCATCTCCTAATGGGTTTGGATTTTCCCAACCCAACATGACCTTCTTTTTTTTCTTTTTTTTCCCGAAGGTTCACAACCAAAGCTAAATATATATTCAATTTTATTTGGCTCAACAACAAAATAAAATACACATTAATTAATTAAAAAGTCTGTTTTAAATAATCAAATATATAATTTTGAGACAATCAAATAAGCTCACAAGAATATGAGATAAAATTGTTTTCATACATTTATATAACAAAATCAATCTGGGTTAAAGGCATTCCAATAAATAATGTTGTTGTAATTTGGAGATGAACCAGCCTATCTTCTCTTCTCTCTCCAGTCTCCAATAACCATGTATGTATCGGTATGTTCCTCTTTGTGTCCTCATTGAGTAGCTTTTCTTTTTTCCATTTGGTTGTATTGGGGGGATAATGGGCACCCGGATCATGTGCTACACAATTAGACAGCTATTAGAGTATCTCTAACACTTACTCAAAAAAAAAAAAAAAATTAATATTAAATTTGAACAAAAAATTAATGAAAAGTTTCATATGATACTTTGTGTTCCAATGCTAATTTTTTAATTTTTATCAAACAACTGGCTGACCAGGAGGTCGTCCGACTTATGTAGATTTTCATCAAACAATCAGTTGATCGGGAGGACAATCGGTCGGTCATCCGGTGTACGGTGAAGCCTCTGCAAAAGTAACGGCTATCTGTAAAAATTTGATGAACGATGAAGCCCTCAATTTGATGAAATTTTTTATTTTCCTTTCATTTGATATGGGTTTGATGCCATGGTTGGAGCAACAAAAGTGTGCATATTTTAACAAATTTAAATTTGATGAAAAATCTAAGTAAAAGTTTGAGACGCTCTTATCAGAGTAGAAAAAAATAAATATATGCATTTATACTTAGGGCTTGTTAAGGAAATGGTTTTTTAGTAATTTTGTTAAATTATGAGGTGAAAAAAATAAAGTGTTTGTGAATAATTTTTTGAATTTTTACAAAAAGAAGTACAAAAAGAAAGAAATGAATCTTTAACTTTTTTATATGATTTTTTAAAAACTTTTTTAATGATTTTTTGATTTTTTATTTTATTTTATTTTATCAGTTTTCCAAACAACTTCTTAATGTTTAATTTCATATCACTTGATGGGTAAATGAAACAAATATCACATGTTTCTTTTTTGTCTCTTTAAATTTTATTAATTTGTAAAATTATTCATGTCACAAAAATCATCATAAGAATCAAATAAGATCCAATAGAATGGAGAAGAGAAAAGAGGTAACAAGAAATGTAGATTCGTGTAAACTATCATGTTGATTTACATTCATTTATATAATGCCACTTTTTCCTTTTATTTTTTAAAGAAGTGCTGAAATTTCAATCCTAACATATAGTTTGGAAGAAAAACCATGATCATAGGGTAATTATTTAGTAATTTCAATACATTATGTAATATTATTTATGTGATATTCTAAATTAATCATGTAGTAAATACTTGTTGATTGAAATATGGAGATTTATACCTTTATTAGAAACTAAAAGCAAATGGATGAAACTGTGTGTTTTGTGATTTTCTCATTTGCCGAGAATTAAATTAATCATATAGACAATGTCATATGACGATAAAAATAAATATAGACAATGTTATTATGATAATCCGAAATATTGTATTTAATTAATTTGTAATGAATCATATTGTATCCCACGCACCCCCCACACTGAAAATAAAAACTCTCTGGAGGGTGCTAGTTCAAATTTGGATGGATAATAAGTTTAGCATACGGTAGGGAGTGTGGATCTTGGGTGCGTTTGTAGTATCCCAAGGAACTAACAAAAAAACATTCTGCTGCTTTGGGCTAAAAGACTATTTGCTTCCAGCAAACTACGTTCAAAAGCTCTTTTTATTCGAGAGTTCTTTAAATCCAAATTTCCCTTTATATATTCCATTTCCACAGAATGCCTTATAATAAGTGGCAAAGTTTCTGAATTATTTAAAATTGAATAACAAGTTAATTAGTTACACTCACTAAAATCCATCCCAAACCTCTAGTTCATCTCCAAACAATAAAAAAAATCAACTGCAAATTTAAACAATATCTATATCCCTGCCAATCCAGGAATTACCCCAAGCTGTAGTTTCAGGTAGCCTAGTTGGGCACTAGGAGTAAGATATCCGTTGCATGGCAGGCCTGGCAGAGCAAATGTTACAACATCATTTACATGAATTCAAGAGTCATCCTAAGTCCAAAAAGATGAAGGCAGCAACATACCATTGCAACCTCTAGCCCTCCACCTAAAGCGAGGCCCATCAATAGGCAGCACTGAAGGCTTCTCGGAGCTGAGCGAAGAGAAGCCACAGAAATAGTAACCAAACTTTTATGATATATAGGACGAGAGCAGAGGAAAAAGGGTGAAAACGCAACCAGATTACCTTCCCACAATGTCAGTAAGAACCTCCTACTGATATAAAACCAGGTTTTTGGGTGCAACTGTGAAAAAACGCACTACATTTTAGGAAAATTACGTGATTGTCCAGCCAAGAATATATAACACTATAAACAAAGTATGCATACTCTTTCGGCCCCTTGCAATTCCACAAAAGACAGTTATATCAAAAGAACGCGCCAAAGAAAACTTGCCCTTTGTCAACTGATCCAAGTAACGAGTATTGAGCTTCGTATCTCATCATCAAGAAAATGAATAAGCCCATCATGCTACTCACATTCCAGTAACACAAATTGCCTCAACATCATCTCTTTTGGTAAGGCTAGCTATACTCACTCTTGCAGCCCTGGTAATTAATGAAAAATATAAAGGGAAACGGAAGAGGGGGAAAAAGAAAAGAAAAATGAGTTGCACCACAAATGTCAGAAAATGAGTTGCACCACAAATTCAGAACAAGTAGAAATTCCAACATCTAATCTAGTTTAACTAAAAGAAAAGGTTGAAGAAATCATAACCATCGTCCAAAAGCTTAAGCGAAGGAGCAATG